TTCAAGAATTCCATGTTGACACAATATATCTAATGAGGTGGTTAAAAGTAAAAGATAAATTAAAAAAGAACCTTGGTATGGCTGAATTTCCGTGGAGAATTGTGTTTTGTAATGCCCCCTTCCCACCTAACTGAAGATCCAGAGGTGAATACCCAAAATCATAAGCCCCATATAAATGCAGAAGGACACAGACCACAAAGCCTGCAATTAGAGACTACTTCCCAGGTCATCTGCATTACGTTCTAGAATCTGCCTTCAACTTGGGGAAGTCACTGCAAATCTCATCCACTGCTTGTTCCATGTTTACTGATTAGCTTCCATATTCAGGCATTGTGCTAGGCTCTTAAGGACCACATCAAATAAATCTTCTACACTCTAATTTCTTTAAGCATACTAGTTGGGAAAGGCAAAAAAATAACCCAGCAATATGTAAGGACTGTAGAAAAAATATGAAATGCAGAGAAACACTGTCATATCTAAACCTGGGTCTCAAGAAGTTCAGATGAGAACCAAATTTTGAAGGAGAACTACTAGGTGTGAGTGAGTTTTAGGTAAGAGAGCAAATGAGGAGCCTGCCACAGAAGGAAAATAAAAACACTTCCTCCTTAGGAAAAAAAAAAACTATTGCCCCATCTCTCAATTGATCAGTCCTACAAATTCGTCTTCAAAGGAAAAAGCTCTTTGCTGTGGGCTACCCTGAGATACTTCCCTTGTGTCTGCTAAAGCAAGAGTTTAGGTGTTCCCTTGCTTCCTATTGTCAGGAAGGTGAACATGGCCCAGGTGTCCTGTTTGAACAGCTCTACAAACATTGCATGGCAATCAGAGAATAAGCTGCATATTCTCTGACAATAGTAGTCTGTGGGGAGGTGGTGTGGCTCTACTTTGCAGCAAAGCATGCATTTAATACTGTAATAAGTAGTAAGGCAATCTTTATCACCAAATCAAAGCATATCCTCACAGACAATAAGAATTAGATATAGTTAAGAATTACTGTTTACGCTGATGACTAAGCAAGAGTATTTTACCTATGCTTTCCTGATATTACCAATAAAAGCTAAATCCAAGGAGAATTGCATGTGATAATTTGTTATTCCCACACCAATCTAGTCTGGCTGCATCTTAGAAAAAGCACAAAAGTATGCAGTGGTCTTTTCATTTTGATATGTGATTTTGGCTGGTAGCATATTTTCTGTATATGTGATGAAAAAAAATTTCACTTTATTTTCAAATATAGGTCATTTTAGATCATTTAACTTTAATGTTGTTATCCTAAGGCCCAAATATAGTGAAAGTAATAAAGCTTGAATCTAATCATTTAGTCTGAAGGTATTTATCAAGGGCCTTCTATGTAAAGTCCTCTTTCTTGCTCAAATGGATGCAGGCATACCATCCCCAGAATCCTATGGGGGGAGGTGGAAAGAAGCTGAAACCCAGAAAGGAGTCCCTGTTGGACTACAGTATTTCTAGTTTACACTACCCCTGATTATTTTGGCCTCTAATCAATATTAACCCATTTACTACATATTTCACTTTTTGATTTCATTTTTCTTCGCTATTTTTCTTGCTTTTTCCCAACATTTTTTAATTTTTTTTTGAAAATTATCAAATTTATCCATTTAATCCTAATCATAAAAAAAACATTATTTGGGTTTTTGTGGTAGATAATTAAGAATTTCAACCTAGCCACAGGAAAAAGGCATCTTGCTAAAAAAGCATTTCTGTTATGAAAAGAAAAACATTCAACCTTAATAGACTACTTTAATGTCTTTATTCCACCATAAAGAAAGTTCAATTATTTTCACACCATGTGTAGACTAAGAGTTTTGAAAGGTGAAGCATGACAAAAGGCACTAGGTCTATAGGACTTGCATTTGCATTTAATCTCAGCTCTGTTAAGAAAAAAAAAATATTTAGGGGCTGGGAGTGTAGCTCAGTAGTACAGCACTTGCCTAACATACACACAGCACTGGATTTTATTTCCAGGACTGCAAAACAATATAAATATGTATATATATATATGAAAGATGAAGGATAATTCAGAAAAAAACACTAGTTGTGTAGTCATAGGACAAAATGAATCAGCGTGCAGTAAAAGATTAAAAGACTTCAATACTCAGAGCAAATAAAAAACATAGCTGTAATTTCTTGAAAGGTGGCTTATCAAAAACAGATTAAAGAAACCAAAGCCTTGTATAATACTCAAACTAATTCAACTTATCTACACCGACGCTATTAGATCTCATCTTCATGCAGCAAAGGTTAACACATTTGAGATCCAGATTTTTGACTGATCTAACCGAACCAACGATAACAACAGAAGAAACAGTACTTGGTCTATTCTTCTCCTTCTGTTTTTTTATGTGAACTCAGAGCTATCCCCAGCTGCTATAAATGCTACTCTCTCTGTCCTGCAAATGTCTTTCTGTATCTGCCCCAGCCATCTTCCACACACAGATGCACATTCACAAACACATGGACACACTCACCCACACACGCACACGCACACACACACACACACACATTTGCATGTTCACTTTCCTGCATACCTGTCTTCTTGCTGCTGCCCTGCACGTCCCCATTCTGATACCTCCCACCCTGGTGAGCCTTTGCCACAGTTGCTCTTGGCACCTGGATAGGCTAGCAGCCTCCTGAGCACCACATACCAAGCTCACCTGCCTGTCCCACCAGAGTCTATGATAACCAAGAGCAGAAGCAGTGATCTTAGAGCCGCCAAACACGTGCCTTACATGTACTGAGTTCACAACCATTTATTTTTAAAAAGGAACTTTTGATGACAACTGAGCTGCCTCTTCCTCTTGTTCTTCCTCTCTGTAAAATAGTTTACAGTCCAGTCTTTATGGCGACTCTGTGCTCATTTACTTTCACTACTCTGGGCCTTTCTATTCTTGTATGCTACTGCACTGCTCACATGCTGAAGCTTTGTGATTGCTGAGACTGGTGGCAGAAGATACCCCTTCCTGCCAGGAAGCCCACAAGTGCCTCTCACTCTGCAGTGGGAATCCTCCCTGGCTTCCTATTCTTACAGAAACTGCATTTAGCATTTATTTGTATTTCAAAGAGCTCAGTTTCATAAAAGCCCTTTACTGTATGATGACTTCCTTTCTCTCATTAAATCCTAGGACAAAGGAGTAGATAGAAAAGGATTGAATCATATAAATCTAGAACCTCTGGGCATGCACTGATTCACCACTTACAGGGAACATTGGCTCCAAGGTGTTTGGCATATTTAGCATTCTTATTTTTACCCCAAATAACATATTAGTATCACCATCTCCGTTCATGGAGAACCGGAAACAATACAAGGTAAAATAATGTAAATGAGATATTGATTGCATGTGATTTTAATTAAGAAGTTTAATAGTAGAGTCCAGAGAAAACTTCAAAATATTAAGAATTAAAAAGAATAAACATAATAATATTGTCTCCCTCATTGAAAATTCCAGGGATTTCTAGATAGACAGCATGTAAATGGGTATAGCCTATAGGATTTTGGTTTGTTGTAGGAAAGCTTCCAAAACTACTACAGATTTTATAAATTAAAACTCATATATCCAAGAATAACTGTTTTTAATATTTGCTATTATTTGTTTCTGTAAAAAAAAAAATTCTAGGTAGTCTGGCGTACCTTTCCTATAATAAAAAAGATTTTGTTTTCTTGTTTTTGAGGAAGACATGAGCATCAACAAGAGCACAGTTATTATATTAGTGACCTTGTGGTTAGAAAAGATTATCCCTTGGGCTCCTGAAGAAATGTCCACGCAGTCCAACCCAGAGCGAAGAAGCTGGGCTCTCCTGGGAATCTGCCTGATCCTTAACTCCGGGTGATGGCGGCTCTCAACAGAAAGGGAAATTTTGAAAACATGGGGATGATGCCTGTCGTGATTAGAGTGAAAGCTGGAAGTTTTAGTTTTATTAGAATAGTACCCTGTGGAGGGAAGCATTTTTTTTTCTGTTTTACTGTCTAATAGTATATAACCATGGTCTTGATAAAACTAAATAAATGATAAATTTGTCCTGACATCAAAGTAATCCAAACTATTTTCGAGGCTAAGGCAGTGCGCCTCAGCTCAGGAAGGAAGCCAAGTCTGTCGTGTTGAACCCAGAGAAGAGCTTTTGGTACTCAGATGTGTGGAGTCCCGAAAACCTGTCACAGATAACTCTCCATGGGGCGTTTAAAATGTCAAGGCAAAGGTTGGAATGCCATCCACAGAGAGCAGGAGGTTTGACAGAAATCTATATTAAACTATTCTAGTACAGACTTACGCTGCATGGAAAAGTCAGAAACTTCTCTGGACAGGCCTCAGTGTTCTGATCTAATTTCTGTTTGGTGATATTGGAGCTTGCCCATAATATCAAACCTTTTTGCAATCTCTGCATAGTCAAGTAGCAATCATGTCGGGTGCTAACCAACGATCCTACTTGGAAGGCAGGAATGACGCCAACCCTCAGCCTGCTCACACACGCAGGCCTTAGAGTCGGAGTCATTTGTTTTTATGAAGTCTGAAAGCTTTGGACATCACCAGAGTCTGTGATCCGCTGTCATTCAGAATGACCTAGACAAGGGATCTTCAACCCACACAAATCTAACTCACAGCCCGGAAAACATTCACTTGCTTAATCTAGTCTGGCATTTTATTTCGATTACTCATTTATCTACTTTAATCTTATTGTTTCTTTATTGATTGATTGACTGATTGATTGTCTAAGTAATTTCTCTCCAAAAACTAAAGTAGTCTAAAATCTGCTGTACAGGAAACAAACATTGACAGACTGTTATTTGGGAATACAGTGAAGGGCTGTGATCTTAGACCTTTTGAAAATGGATGGTCCAACATGGAAAAGGATGGTGGGGACTTTGTTCACTTCCTGCGCCTGGCTTTCGCCTGTGGGGTTCTCTTTGGGGGATTGCGGGGACAATGGGTCCAGGGAGTGTGTCCTTGTCGCTGAGCACCGCTGACTGTCCTTGTGCTCCTTTGCAGAGCTGGAGGCGGAGGAGTGGTGCAAACACCTGTGCATGGAGTGCCTGGGGACCCGGCTCAACGACATCAGCCTCGGGGAGCCAGACCTGCTGGCGGCTGGGGTGCAGCGCGAGCAGAATGGTCAGTGTCCGAGCCTGCCACACCTGGGGTGGGGGGGATCCGCTAGCTGTAGGACCCGAGCTGGAGAGGACCTCAGTAACGTGTCAGGCCAATCATATTAACCAAAAAAAAAAAAAAAAGGAAACAAATCCATTAGTCCACATTATTATGGGACTTTCCCACGATGGCACAGCAACTAGAGAAAATGGGAAGGTACAACCCAGGTCTCCTGGCTCCTTGTCTTTGGCGTTGTCATTTGCTCCTATTTTCAGTAGGAAAGTACCGTGGATGAGATCTCAGAGTACCACCAGCCTTTGAATATATAGCACCCCTACATTTCCTTCTCTGGAAGTGGGTACAGATTCAGAGCTTATGTTGACAAATGTGGCTCCTCAGGTTGTCAAGTACTTTTAAGGTATTTGTTACTCTCAGTAGGAAAGTACTGAGGATGAGATCTCAGAGTACCCCCAGCCTCTAATTTAACAGGCATTTCTGATGCCTCTGAACAATCTATGCTGCATGCTGTTGCTTAGCACCTCCGATGCAATTGGAGTAATGTATTTATTATTCAATGGAAAGTCTTGAATTATATTCAGGATAATTAGTAATTGATTATGAGCCCATTTTCCCCTACTTTTTAAGTAATTAACACCACTACCAGGTGATCTAGTATTGTGCAAATAGGAACTTTTCAATGTTTGCATTTGGTGGTCAGTATTGAGAAAGTCTGAGGGTAACTGGTGAAACTTGACACTGTTTATTAAAGAGAATTTATGGGACCCTCCATGGTGTATGAACTAGACTGCACAGGTGAAGTGCACCATGACACCACTGATGACCATAGTCCTGTTGCTACTAATAGCAATGTTGCTAATAAGCTCTGCTATTTCACAGCTCATTAGAACACTCTTTCTTTTATTTGTCACTGAAACAAGGAAGCAGGACTTTTCCTACTATTGATCATGAATATATGCAGGTGCCAGACACTGCCTCTGTCAGATAATTTTTACAAAGTCACAAAAGCATTTCTGCCAGGTTCAGTGTCACACTCCTATAATCCCAGCAGGTGGAGAGGCTGAGACAGGAGGATCAGGAGTCCAAAGCCAGCCTCAGCAAAAGTGAGGGGCTAAGCAACTCAATGAGACCCTGTCTCTAAATAAAATACAAAATAGGGCTGGGATGTGGCTCAGTGGTTGAGTGCCCCTGAGTTCAATCCATGGTACACCCCCAGATGCACGCGCGCGCACACACACACACACACACACATACACACAAAAAAGCATTTCTGCAGCTTTTTCTGGGTTCCTCTTTACACCTCGGCTCCTTTCCCACCTCGCTCAGATTTCCACATCTGATTTGTTTTCTGGAGCTGTGATAAGCACAAAACATCCATAACCATACTGCTTGAAGTGTGCTGCTCATTCACAGTTTAAGAAAAAGAAAGACAGCAAGAGAGAGAGAGAAAAAAAAAACTCCTACTAATAAAAGAATTGTCAAGTACTACATAAAGGAAATACGAAAGGGTTTAAGATTGAGGGAGATGCATCTCTTCCAGTGTACACTATGTGCTTTCAGTTTAAAGATTTGAAGTTGTGTATGGTTTCCATCCAAATGGAAAATGGAATCCTTTTATTATAATTCTGTTTGTTATTTGATGATAATGTTAATTTGCCTAGAATAGAAAAGGAAAATTTAAATATAGATTTGGATTTAGGATAAAACAAATATGGAATTAAATGTAAGAGCTACATGAAAAGCAGAGTTTTCCTTTTATAAAGGATCACAAGTAAAAACAAAGAAAACAGCAACAACAAAAAATTCCTGCCTATACTTTAGAGCAGATCTGAAATTGTAATATTGCCCAGGCCACAAATGCTTGTGTTAAATTTTCTTTGTTTGATAAACCATGCAAAAGGGTGAACGTGCTTTTTAAAATACATTTAACAAATCCATGAATAATTACTGAGCTGGGTAAGGTAGTATCGGGTTCACTTAAATGGCTTTTAGAAGGTACACAGTGCCCTATAAAGAAACTTGCAAGCTAACTCAGTATATATGCAGACACACACACACACACACACACACACACACACACGCACACACACCTCTTCAGTGTTTGGCAACAACAGGAAACCCTTTGATGGGAGAATTGCCTTTCCCAGGGAATCACTGTCTCCCCACCTCCAGGCCAGGTGTGTAGTCAGCTCAGGGCTTGGAGTCTTCTTTTTGTTCAGGTGGATCCCTAAACCCACATGGTACCTTTCCCTAGCCCATGGAAAGCTAATTAAAACTTTTAATACTTCTCATGCATATTAGATTAGGTCAATAAAAAGAATAAAGCTCAAGATACATCAAGACTTCTGACTCCACTGTGGCAAACTCAATCATTCTAGTGTCTATATACAGCTGGGGAAGAAGTGTACACACAGATCACACAGGTTCTTATGTTCATGCCTAGTTTTCTCACTTCCTATTCATCAGACGTCCCCTGTGCATATGCCAGCTCCAACTGAGAAGCCCCTGGAGGTGATTAACTCCCATGGGCTCTAAAACCTCATGGTCAAGACTAAGATTGATTCTCAGCTGGCTGGACCCTTTCTTTAAGGTCTGAGGCTGCCCTTGGAGCCAACAGTTATGACCATTAACTTGACTTAAAATGCGTAAGGAAGATGCTTGTTGTTTTAGCTAGCTGATTAATGTCTTTAAAAGTAGTGTTTCAAAACTCTTCTTTCATTGATTCTCAATCACTGTTCCAGACTTTTCAAGACAAACCTTCTAAAATAAACAAAATCATTAACTTCTTAATACATGTTTGAAGTCATTAATATGTACAGATTGAACTAAGTCCTTTATGAAGAATTTGTCATTATAGATTCAGTTTTTTTTTTCCTTGAGGCATTTTGGTATTAAATTATACAATTTATTCTCTGTCAGAGAAATACTTTGTTATCTTGTCAATCATGTGGTTGGATTTAATTTGAAGTTTTTCTCCTAAAAGATAAGATAAAGTACCCAGAATTGATGTGAAAATTACATTAGAGTGGCTTGTGATGACCTTGTGGTATTCTACAATCGAGGTAAAGGCACACCACTTGGTCTTGACCACAGCATTATTTTGACATTCAAAATTGCTACTTCTCCTCTAGTATTTTCCTGGCTGTTCAGACAGCCTGGTCTTATTTACTCTGAGGCTAAATAAGAATAGATATTTATGCAAATAATTTTAAAGGTGAAAAATAATGTGTTTTGCTGAAATAAAAGTGGTTATTGATTAAATTCTTTGCCATAATCACCTTTATCTAAAGCTGTCAGCTGCTTTTCCATTGACTCAGATCCTACGTTATATATAAGCAAACACAAACCCTCTCTCTCTCTCTCTCTGTCACACACACACACACACACACACATACACACACACATACACACACACACAATTCATAGACTTCAGGTAACACTGCCACAAGAAATAGTATAGGAAGTAGACTTTTCAAAACTTAAATTCTTACACTTTCTTGGATCTCCAGATATTTCAGCAGCATTTCAGATAGCCTACACTGACCTTGGAAAGTATGAATATATAGTGTAACAGTCACAGTTGTTTATCGAGGCTTCACAACCCATAATAACACTTCTGGAAAACAGATGTCGCATATTCATCATCCATGGCAAAAGAGAGTGTCGTGATCAAGAGGCAGCTCATTTGCAGGAACGCCCTGCAGTGGCAGTTGGAAGGAAATATGGGGGACGTCCAGCTTGCTACCAATGCAAGACACCTCTCTGTGTCCAGAGCAAACCAACCAAAAAGTCACCTCAATGTTTGACATCTGGCTGATTCAGTCAGGTCTGAGGGTCTGGTTTTATCCAAGACCCAGTGGCTCTGCCAATGTGGACTAGACTCAGCATGAATTCCTACTTTCAGCCATATTTTCTCCAAACCAAAGCAATATTCTATGTTGGCTCTAAACCCTTTACCTGGATTGTCAGAGTAACCATTTTGCCTCCGTTGAACTCAGACCCCTATAAATATCATTCACTCTTTCATTGTTCACACATGAAATATTTTTGAGGACCTATGATATCCAAAAACTAAGCTAAGGAAATGTAGAATTGAACAAAACATGGTCATTAGCCAAGAAGCTTGCACAACAGTGAAGGACACCAACTTCCAAGGAAGGTCTATCAATCGATGTTTTGTAAAATACTATGTTGCCATTACCAGAAGCATGTCTTTGCTGTTCATGGATAGGGGAGTGGCTGGAGCTCAGTTCAGTTAAATGGGTTCTGCTGAGATGGACTCCAAGTATCTCTTATCTTCCCTACACCTGCAGCTACCAAAAGCATGTCTCAAAACAATTAATAACTGATGCAAGAGAGAAAGACCAAACTTGCAACTTAACTTCATCCTCTGCATATTTCATGTCCACTGATATTGCATTGGCCAAACAGGTCCTGTGTCCAAACCCAAAGTCAAGAAGCACAGCAGAGCTCACCTGTGAAGCCATGAGAGAGGTTAAAATGCATCACCTAGAGGAAGAAAGAAATGAATGACTGAGGGATATAAATAGCAATGATGCTAAGCTGCTTTCTAAGCTATGATAAAATACATGTCCAAAAAAAAAAAAAAAAACTGTGCCGTGGTACAGTTATGATTAATTCTTATCAATTAGATTATCCTCTTCTTTTTAAAAATTACTTTTTAATCCTCAAAATAGCTTCCTCAGACAAATCTGAAATTCTTAATGCCTATCAGTGATTAAAACTAACACTGGCAGGACTTTACTGATGGAAGATGGCCACTGGTTCATGAGAGGACAGTGGCAACAGTAACAATAAATATCCATTTAGGGACTTTTTCCCAGTTCCTCAAAAATGATATAAGGTATATGATCTTGACGCTCATACATGTTCTTTATAACCAGTGAGGTTGCAGGCTTATCATTTTGTCCATAGGGAGACACAGAGCAAAACCAACTTACACAGGGAAAGAAGTGGACTGAGTTGTAAGTGCTGCCCACAAGCGC